TTCTGCCACAGATCCGCTTTGCTGCTACATGAATAGTCAGCATCCCCCATTTTGGAATGACAGGGCTGAGCAGGGAGGGAGGGGGCGTCAGGGATCCAGGGGACCCCTGGAAGGGTTCTGGCTGCAGACCAAGCCAACCAATCAGACTCACGCCCTAAGGCACAAAGCTTCTGAGCCTGGTGAGCAGGTGGAAAAACAATTAGATTCCTTCAGTATGCAAGAAACTAATTATAAAGTTTAATGAGTGAGACACTGCATCTTTTTTCCTAAAATTGTGTATCCTATTCAAAGGTAATGTGTCAGGTACACTGAGCGAGCGATACAGCATCATGCAGCCTACTTAAAAGCTGTGACTCTGGGAAGAGTGTTTCTCACTTAGAGCTGTTTCGAGGACCAGGGCAAGCTCACGTCTACTGCTCCAGGGAGCACTCAAGTGCACCTCAGGTACACACACTTATTGCCTACTAGGTACTGCCCTGATACTGCACAAACTACACGATGTCACCAGTCACTCGATAGCAAGAAAGACACAGATCCCTCCCGCCTCGCTGTCCTGAGGCTTGGGCTCGCCTACAAAGAAAGGAACATCTTCCAAAGTGTTAGTCCTACAGGTGCAAACCTCCCCACGTCACAGCAGGTGCCAGAGAAGGAAGTATTTTTTTTAAGACTTTTCAGTGTTTTGGAAAGGACCTGTCAGAGAGCTGGCAGTGAGGTCTGCGCCTGCTGATTAGGAACATGGGCATAAATTCTTGCTGAGAGGAGAGCAGAGTTTGGGAGAGCTGTGATGACCAAACAAGATGGTGCAAGTAGTGCATGGTGCTGAACTGCATAATTGAAGCTGGTTAAAATGGCACATTTTTAAATACATATCTTGCCACAGGGTGTATGGTTGATGTTCTTGTTTGGTACCTTATTTAGCTATCCTAAGTTGATTTTCCAATAGCTGTTCTGTTCAGAAGTCAGCAACCTACCAGCAGGCAAAGAGGGCAGCGTCAGCACCGGTCATCTCACGCATCCACATTACATTTAAAATTGGATCTATAGAACTTCCTCTTTTTTTCCTGTTACCCAAATTTCTTTGTATTTGAACTTCCCTTCCCCCAAATTTTATTTTTAATAGAACTGAGAACAGGAGCTAAGTATTACAGTGCAGTAGGTTAAACCAGTACCTGCAATATCAACAGCCCCTACTAGTTTAAGTCCTGGCTACTCAGTTTCTGATCCAGCTTCCCATCAGTGTGCTTGGGAAAGCGGTGTAGGGGGGACCATGTTGTTGGGCCCTTATCATCCACATGGGAGACACACATGGAGTTCCAGGCAGCTGGATTCAGCCTAGCCCCACTCGGGCCATTGCAGGCATATGGGGAGCAAACCAACAGATAGAAGTTCGTTCTCTCTCTCCCTCTCTGATCCTACTCTCTGTAACTTTACCTTTCAAAGAGAACAATAGACCGTAGTCTGAAATCATATTTTATATTGTTTTTTCTGTAATGTTTTGCAATCTAGATGACTTTCTCTGAATTCCAGAGCAAGGACCAACTCTTTAGCCATTACATTTGTTAGTTGGTGAAAGCAAATGATGCCCTCAGGACCTCACAGCAGAAACCCATCTAGCAGTTTTGCAAGGTCCAGCAGGCCTCCCAGCAGGCCATCCCCTCTCCCCTGGAGACACCTCTACGCCCTGAAGGGCATCGGATCGTGCAAGCCCCTGTTGGCGACTCTCACAGATGGAGAGAGGAACGTTTCTTATAAACCGCACATTTTACAAAGCCAGTCCCTCGATGCATATCTCATCTCTCCAGTCTTGCATTCTGAACATACAGCTCCCCTTACGGACACAAGCAACCACCATCTTCACGCGCGACCTTAGTGCACGAAAGGAAAAGGCAGATGATCATGCGTGGTGCTGCCCAGTGTTATTTATTCTTCCATTTTACAAAATGGGCAACACTGAGCCAGATGGTCAAGGTGTATGTCTTTATTTAATCACAGTTTTAATTTTAAGCGGATACACATTTTTAAATGCAGTGATTAGACTCAAGCTTACTCTCAAAGTACAGAACTTCTCAGCCTTGCTCCAGGCCCCCTTTCTGCTTTGTCTTTCCTTTCTCCTCTCCTTCAGCTCAGTGTGTTTTCCATCTGATATCTACGATGACAGCCTATGGCACAAGGCCTGATGGGAGTCTTTCCTTAAGGGGCAGAGAGAGAAAGATGCCAACCACCTCTGATCCATCAGTGCCATCAGTGCATTGTCCACTGCTTCTAAAAAGCCAGTGCTGGGCTTCAAGAAGGGAGGCAGGAGGTCAGTGTAGGTGTCACATGTAAGTGGCAGGGACCCAGCCCAGCCCCCATGGCTGCCTTCCAAGGTGCCTAGTAGCCAGAAGCTGGAGTTAGAACCATCAGCTGGGACTCAAACCCACGTACATCCAATGTGAGATTCAAGTATCTTCCCCTTCAAGCCAAATGCACACCCCAAGAAGCTGAAGTTCACCCTTCTCATGACGTGGACTTGCCAGAATCTACCAGCTAAACCAAAGCGGAGCCTGCATGCAGACTCCAGGCTCCTTGGCCAGGGCTCATTTGTGCACGCTGGTCTTGTTCCACCACTGACCACTCTCTCCAGCAGCAGTCAGAGCTCTCTAGTCTATAGTTTGTGTGACTGCTGGAAGCAGGTGCACAAACGAAAACCATCGTTCTTAAGGCCACATCCGTGAGCGTGAATGTCTGTAAGTCACTTCCTACGTTACACATCATTCCTGAGATTCTTTCAAGTCTAGCCAGGGACATCTGGCATCTGTTACTTCAACAACTGCTCTGCCTCCACCACCAAGGAAGGAAATAGAAAACATACTCTGCATAAAGTCAGTGGATTTGTGTTGCTCAGCTTTTAATATCATAGGATTCCTCCTCTACTGACAACGCTGGGGTAGAAGTTGGGGTGGGGTGCACGGCTACAAGATGACAGTTCAATTTGCACTTAACTACAGGGGAGGCTGGAAGTCTTAGTTTCCATCTTTGCTTTAGCTCTTCCACTGATAAGGCATTCAGACCCTGTGTTCATGGTGGAACAGCCTACAATTACTGCCAGCCACACGAATGTCCCAGTCTCTTCTATAACACAGATGGTGCCTGATGTGTTTTTCACTGCACAAGGTTCAAAACTTTAGAAATCAGACTGTAAATGTTGCAGTATTTACCAAAGTTGTGCTCAGTGTTGCAGCAATCATATTTGAGAAACAGTGTGTGAAGCCTGTGTGGAGGGGTCAATGAACAACGAGGGTACCCATGCGTTAGGTCAGCTGCATGTGGGAGAGTCACTTCCCCCAATGCCCATAAAGGGAAACTGGAGCTATGTGGTTGCACACCTTGCCAGTGGCTGCAGCATCAGTGAATGCAGAAGGTGCCCTAGACCAGGTCTGTGCCATGCCAAAGCCCATGTTCCAAACTCTCCTTCCTTCGACCTGAAACAACTTAGAAGGATCATGAAATGAATCTAAAATCACGTCCATCCCAGCCTGGACAAGTTCTGCTCCCAGATGACACCCTGGCCAAAACACTGGAAGCAGAGTAGGTCCGCCAGTGCCCCCTGGCATCCTGGCCCAGTGGTCACAGCACCACCCTTCCTCCTGCTCCACCAGGGTTTAGGTAGAACTTGAATACAGTCACTCAAGGGTATGTAGGGTAGAGTTGGATTAATTCTTTCATCTCTCAAGATTCTCTGCGCTTCAATAAAGAATGGATCATAAGTGAAATGCATAATGACCTGGATTTGTGATTAGTTTTAACCAAATATTAAATGAAGCCATTCTCCTCTGGTTTCATTATCTGTTGAAATGAGTCCACTAATGGTTTGGTGAACCCTTTCAGTTGTGGAAGATGATGACTCACTTATTAATGATATGCTTGCTTTTAAATATTAATTCTGATGGCTGCACGACAGAGATAAATAGTGGGTCTGTTTCCACAGCACTTCCTATGTTGACGTCAGACTCTTGCATGCCACTGTTTCCCTGAGTCTTGAAGTCAGCCTCATGGTGGGTGGCTGCTCAGCCTTGTCTTTGTGGCAGCTTAAATGTCTCCTGGCCAACGATTAGTCCATAGTCTTGGCCTCAGGCAGAGGCCTGCAGAGTGTCACAAAGGAAAAGAGCCATGTGTGGACCGGCAGGTGCAGGTGTCCATTTCTTATGCCCCATCCTTGACGGAGTTTGTCAAGGGCAGAAGCACCATGCGCCAGCCTGGGGGAATCCCAGAGAAAGCTGAGATCTGAGCGTCCCAGCTGGCTGTCTGTAAGAGGCTGCACTGCTGACTTGGCAGACCAGGATCCCTGCGGTCCTCCTGAGGAAGCAATGCAGTCCTTGGAGGAGAGGGGAGGAAGCCGAGAGGGCAGGGCAGGACAAGGCCCAGGGAGAGAACCACAAGCACACCAAAGCAGAAAGCAAGGGGAGAGCCTATGGACGGACGTTTAAGGGAGTAAGGGAACATGGGTCAGGCCAGAACATGCAGTAGAAAGATGCTGTCAGCAGTCAAACATCAAGCACTTGATCCTCTTCCTGCAAGTGCAGCACAGCCTGGGATGAGACAACTCAGCAGGGCATTTCACACCCTGAAACTTTCTGGTTTGTCTCAATGAAACACTCATAGAACCCTGCCATTTCTCGTGGTCTTGTTCCTACATGTTTGATATTACGTATAAAACATGACGTAACTACATACTGCCCTTCAGGTAACTATAGCAATTGTCTCCAATACTTCTAGTGATTGTAATACAACAATGCAACAATGCATTTCCTGCCCTCCCCTTCCCACCCCCAACCTCATTGGCTTGGAAGGTACGACCGCCTTCCACACTGTCTGGGCCCTGGACTGCCTTTCTCCATGGCTAGGCGGAGGACACTGTCGCCCAAAGTTATCCTGAGCCGGACGGCCTGTAACAGCAACACACTGCATTTTCTAGAAAACCCCTGAAAGCACCCTCATGATTCTTCTTTCTTGAATTGTAGCGGAGGACGGTCCCCGTCTCCTGGTGGAAGCGGAACAGGCCAAGGTATTCTCACACCGTGGTGGCAATGTCACGCTGCCGTGTAAATTCTACCGAGACCCGACAGCCTTCGGCTCAGGACTGCACAAGATCCGAATTAAGTGGACCAAGCTAACTTCAGATTACCTCAAGGAAGTGGATGTCTTTGTGTCCATGGGATACCACAAGAAAACCTACGGGGGCTACCAAGGCAGGGTGTTCCTGAAGGGTGGCAGTGAGAACGACGCGTCCCTGGTCATCACTGGCCTCACCTTGGAGGATTACGGGAGATACAAGTGCGAGGTGATTGAAGGGTTGGAGGACGACACGGCCGTGGTGGCGTTAGACTTACAAGGTAGGTGTCTCTGGGCCGCACTGAACTTCAGCGTGAGCATTAATCATGGCTCTTTCTTTGGCGTGAGGGATGACATCCAGGGGTTGCCATAGTAATAATGTGACAGACCATAAGTCCGCTACAGCCTGCTTTGGATTCTTTCCTGTTTTACCGTTGGCCCATGATTCCAGCTTTTGTGTTTGTAAGGTGCGTGTAACACTCCTGCTCAAACCTGAAACTGTTTGCAATCTTGAGACACACGCACTGAAGCCGAATTCATCACTTTCAGAAACTGCCTTACGCTATTTCTGTTTTAAATCTCATTATATGGTTACGGAGGAAATTCAGATTGGATTCTTTATTCTGTTTCTAAAATTATTTTGGTTACAAAATAATAGCAAGTCTTATAAAAGACAGCTGCTAACTAAAATGCATGTAATTGTATTCTGTAAAACTAATGTGAAGGAAGTCACCTCTGGATTCATGTAAATGTGTTGTATTTTTCCCCAGTGACCCAAAGTGCTTGGACATTGCACAGCAGTCAAGGCATTTTGGGGGAGGCGGTGGAATTTTGTCTCTTGCGTGTGGCTTACATTGAGTAGGTCCAACAGTTTGTTGTAGCTGTGCCACTGGACAGTGTCCTCTGTGGACAGTGTCCTCACGGCTCTTCCTCTCCTCCGTCTGGTGCTCATCCTCTAGGAGGAGAGACAAATCCTCTCTCTTTGTGGCCATCTGGATATTGATAACATTCAGGTAACCATATGAGATTATCACCTTGAAGATTCTCCTGCTCTAAATGTACTGGGTTTTGAGTCCCACTTGTGGTTACCTTCATGGGCCAGACCGGGGGATTCCACAGGCCTAACATTCCTGCAGTCTGCAGGATGAGTTCTATAACTGAGGCAGCTCACCCAAGTTCACGGTATGTCTTCATTTAGGAAATATGAGTTAGTGTTAAGCTACTTGCTACTGAGTTTACATATCATCATGTTTCCTAAACATAAATGATTTGGACCCAATATTTACAGTCTCCCAAGATTTATATTTAAAGTGAAATTTTAAACAGAAGCCAGTATAATTTGCCAGAAGTAGAAAGAAATCACAAAAGCAAATATGATGAAAATCAGATTTCTACATTCTGACTGGATACCATTGCTAGGTGCTGGCTTTGAATGTGAAATCTGCTCTTCATGGTGTGAAAATCAGTTTTGCATGTGAACTCTACAACGATCCGTAGAGTTAAACTAGAACTTGCTTCAAGGTACAACAGAAGTAAAGGGAACTGGGGGGGAGGGAAGAAAGTACAACTGTGTCTTGACTAAGCCTGAACCATCCCAAATCTTCACATTCTCCTTGCTTCGGGAACACTTCCCAACGTGGATGATGCATAGGAGCTGAGTGGATGTGGTCCAAGACAACAATTGCTCAGTATTTTTACAGGTGCTGCTTGAGTGCCATGGGATACAAAGAATTGCAAGACTTTGTTCTTTTAAGAATCTTACAGACCATTAAAGAGTCTATGACCATTAACAGAGTCAGAACGCACTGACATCACCAATTGCTATAATCACATGCACCATGTCTCCTGCTGCTTTCCAGTGACTGTTCTGTAACTGAGAACACACCTTTCCTAAGGCATCGTGGCAGACTATGAGCTAGTACTCCCAACATAACCAAGGGAAATGGGTCAAATCTAAGCTTACCCACTATAATCTGGAAAGTCACACAAAGGAAAAATTGTGAGACAAAATAGAAGGCAGGGAAAGGTAGAGCTCTTGCAGTTACAGGCTTCAGAAATGAAAGGCTTCCCAAATCATTTGGAAATGATTGCCTGACTGTCCTTTGGTTAGTGCATTAACTAGCATGCCCTAGAGAACTGTCCAACACCCCCCTTCAGTGTTCCCAGAGCACCTGCAGTACAGCTGGAACCCCATTTGGTAAATATTTGAAACCTACCAGTTTTCACCTGCTAATTACGGTCTGTTGTAGGGAGTCCAGTTCTAGTGTTACACAGGAATCAATGTCCTCCGTACGGGTATACATTTGCAAATACAGAAATGACTCCTGCAGTGTGGGTGTGGGGGATGAACCTTTCCAAGAACAAGAAAGGCAGGAGATAAGATGTCCCAGGTAAGAGAAAGAAATTCCTGCATGCCAAAAAGAGGGAACAAGGAGGACAACCGCATGCCAGCCCAGCTGATTTAAGACCGATGGTGACCAAAGCATAGGCTAAACAGAGTTTGAACTTTCTGCAACCAGATTCAAACATTTGATCAGCAGAGTACATCCCCATATGTTATGACCCAGCTTTAAAGAGGGTCATGGGCTAGCCATCATACTTGATCCTGTTGGTTATTTGTAAATACTATGAGAGGCTCCTCTCCGCTGGAGTTGGGGAGGGCTGTAGGAATACAGGATTCTCGGAGAATCTCGGATGCAGCCAGAGCCTCTGAGCAGCTGATCCCACTGCTGGACACTGCACCCAGCAAGCAGCAAGCCGTGTGCAGATAAAGCCACCTTGGTCTCATTAGAATCTCACTGAGACGCACAAAGCTTGACCGGAATATCTTTGAGGTTGTCATGACTCAGGGTAGTCTCTAGTTCCTGGGACCCCCTGGGAAACGGAAGTTAACCTGGATGGTGTGCAACAGCCCTCCAAGTGCCAAGTGGACTTGCAGGTTACATCCCAAGGCAGAGAGCTGCTCTGGGATGAAGTAGTTCCCTTTCATTACATTCTTGGGGATGCTAAGGAGAAAGGATGAAAGGTTGGGAGGGGACCCAGGCCTGGCACCCTGCTGAGCTTCTCTTGCTGGCCTGCTTCCTGAGAGCCTGTAGGAGTCCTCCCCAAACAGACCCCTCCCCAGGCAATCCTGCCCCCTCGCCACAGCTTCTCCCGTTGGGCTCTGGTTCAGCTTACAGATCCCTTGGCCAAGAACCTGAGAAGGCAGGAGGAGATCAGGAAGCCTCCTTGGATCCCTGCCCCTAGTTGAGGGTGCCAGCTGGACTGCCCTCAAGGGACCAACGTGTCCTGCAAGAGGCCTTCAGGGTACACCACTCGCCTTGAGTCTGCTTTTGAAGAGGCTTCCGGGGCAGCTCGTACAAGAAAATAACTTGGTGCTGTTAAGGGAATAGTCCATCATCCAGAAGGGCTGGGAGGCCCCTGACACTGCATGTGGGGCATAACCCCCCAAGTTACTGTGTCAGTGGGACAGGCTTCGAGTAAATACAAAAGCTACACGAGCCTTACACCAGTCATGCTATGTTCTGTTCACTAGGGGCGAGATTCTTTGAAACCTTTGCCTTCAGCAGATGATACAACTCTGTTTTTTGATCTGGAAATCCCTACATCCAGTGTCCCATGCCAGCTCGCACTGTTTACACTGACCAGGGAATTCTGTCCTCCAAAATAGTCCATTAGATGTTTACTTGGTACTCAGTTAAGTCAGCCAAGTGTAGGGAAGCATTTTGTTCTAAGAATGTTTTTAAAAATATGAATTTCAGTTTGCAATATATATTATGGAAGAGGAAAAAAAATAGTAATGGAAATATTTTTAAATGAAGAGCCTTATGTTAGTTGTACTGTGCAAGGATGCAAAGCAAGAGAATAATATTAAGGGCTCCACTGAAATTTGAAACCGATGGGGCTGGCAGTGTGGCCTAATGGGTTAAGCTGCCACCGCGATGTCAGCATCTCTTGCGAGTATCAGTCCAAGTTCCAGCTCCCTGCTGATGCAAATCCCAGGAAGGAGGAAGCTGGAGCAGGGACCTGGGCCTCTGCCACCCACGAGGAGACCAGGATGGAGTCCCAGTCTCCCAGCTCTGGCCTGTTAGAGTCAGACAGGGTGCGGAGTGACCCAGTGGACCGAAGGTCTCTCTCTCTCACTCTCTCTGACTTCTCTCATTCTGCGATGCTGCTTTTCGAATCTTTCTTTTTCAATTGAGACAGAAGAGCCACAGAGCTCGTTACGGAAGTGTGCACTGCTGTCTAGACTTTTGTGATAGGAAACGAGCTGCTCTGCGGAAGCATGTAACTTCCACGAAGGGACCTTTGTAGGGGACAAATGCTGACCATTTGCCAGGAGCACAGATGAAGGAGTTCTAGATTTTCATTTGAATCATGTCCTTATACATTTAAAACAGATATAAAGTTAATTGCAGGAACGATGATTAAGTAAGTTACCAGGAGCTAATGAAGGAAGTTGTCAGGGAGGGTTACTGGGACATTAACATCTGTTCACACCTTCATCTTCAGGAAGGAGGGCTCTGAGGCCTCTGACTTTTCAGAAGTCAGCACACCCAGGACTGGTTGGGAGGGAGGGCGCTCGGAGCTGCCAGCCGAGCCACCACCCACTGCTCCCTCATCACTGGCCGAGCCACCGGCCACTGCTCCCTCATCACTGGCCGAGCCACCACCCACTGCTCCCTCATCACTGGCCGAGCCACCGGCCACTGCTCCCTCATCACTGGCCGAGCCACCGGCCACTGCTCCCTCATCACTGGCCGAGCCACCGGCCACTGCTCCCTCATCACTGGCCGAGCCACCACCCACTGCTCCCTCATCACTGGCTGAGCCACCGGCCACTGCTCCCTCATCACTGGCCGAGCCACCGGCCACTGCTCCCTCATCACTGGCCGAGCCACCGGCCACTGCTCCCTCATCACTGGCGTCCTGGAGGCTTGGCTCTGAGCTGCTTTCTTGGACACGACTGACCCCTTGCCCTCTCCTCCCAACAGGTGTGGTATTCCCCTACTTCCCACGCCTGGGCCGCTACCACCTCAATTTCCACGAGGCGCAGCAGGCCTGCCTGGAGCAGGACGCCATGATTGCCTCCTTCGACCAGCTCTATGACGCCTGGCGGGGCGGCCTGGACTGGTGCAACGCCGGCTGGCTCAGCGACGGCTCCGTGCAGTACCCCATCACGAAGCCCAGAGAGCCCTGCGGGGGCCAGAACACCGTGCCCGGCGTCAGGAACTATGGGTTTTGGGATAAAGACAAAAGCAGATATGATGTTTTCTGTTTTACATCCAACTTTAATGGTAAGCTGTTCTCTGTGCTGCCTTCTCTCCTATCCCAAATTCCCGTCTTACTTGTATAAAGACAAAAAAAAAATTTAAAGACCTTTGAAGTGTTGCTGTAGTTCGAAGATGTAAAACACTCATGAGCATCCTACCTGAGATACCCGTGAGCCGAGCAGACCTGCAGTACGCCTGGGTTCCGCCGCATGCACTTTTGATTATGAAATGTGCGTTTACTGTTGCGGGCTCTGCAGTCTTTGTGCTGCAGCCAATTCTGCCGCGCTGTGCTGCGTGGGACATGCGGCTCCTTGGGGAAGTAAGGATGCCTGCCTGCCGTGTCTCCCTTTCCCTCTCATCAAAGATGATGAGCAAAGCTCAGGATAAGAGAGCGAGTGAGCAAGGAAACGCCAGCAGAGGGAAACATTGTATCAGCCTGCTGTGACTCCAGCTCTGGCCTTCCACCCAGGACCAGAGGCGTGATTTGCCCAGCAACAGATGTGACGGTGGCCATTCTGGCCTGGTGTGAACACACCGGCCTGGGTTCTAGCCCTGGCTGTGCTCTACGTTCTAGCTCTCTCTGCCTGGCACGCTGCAGGAGGCAGCAGGTCATGGCCTTGCCACCCGCCTCCCACGAGCCTGACTGCAGCTCCTGACTTCCAACCTCTGCCTGGCAAAGCCCTGGCTGTTACAAGCGTTTGGCGAGTGAACCAGCAGAGGATGGCTCTTTCTGCGAGCCTGCATCTCTGCCAGATGCAAAGCAAGGAAAGAAAAGAAAGGATAATAATTTTTTGCTCAAAAATGATTAAGAACCTTGAAGCCAGCCCTTGTGTGAGCCAGTGGGGCTCACAGGCCACAAGCCCCACTCCTGTTTGAGAGCTTAGATCACAGAGGACAGGCTTTAGCGAAACTTTGTAAATTTTTCTTTTTGGGTGGGGGGGCTCTGCTGGCAATGAGATCTGCATTAGAACTACTCACCACGGCTTGGCAATGTTGGCATGGGACCAGCCGCACACAGCACCAGGCCCTGCTTAGCACCACCCCATTTACGCACCAGGACCCTGAGCCAACCTGTCCATGGACCTGACCCCTTTGCCCTCATCACACCTCGGTGTGCAGAGAAGTGGCAAGCAATGCTTTGTGCTTTAATGGGCTGTTTAGTAAGAGAGGAGGGGTTACCTGCTGCTCCTTGACCTCCAACCCCGACAGAGCCTAGCTTCCTGGTGTGGATGTTCTGATTCATGCGGCAGGAAGCCCAGCAGTTAGCACCGTCTGGGAAGTGGTGGTGACAAACCCGTCTTTCCCGTGCACTCAACAAGTGGTGAGATGCCAGGGCTCCCGCAGATCAAAGTAGCCAGCCATGAAGAAGCCGCGGCAGCCAAGGCACACTGGATGGTCATTCTGGGCCCGTTTGATTGGTGGCGAGTGACTCCCTGCATTTCAGCTGTAGCTTTGAGTGAGAATAATGCCTTATTGATACCTGTGATGAAAAGGACTTGAGTGCTTCTGATTTTTTTTTTTTTTTTTTTTTGTGAATGGACTTTTATGTCAGGCACTTTTTTTTTGATCCTTTCACATTCAAATTTTGCCTCTCCAGAAACTTGTACTGGGACCCAGCCTCCTAGAGCTGGAATTTCAATAGCTCTTGCTTTCACGGGAGAATTCTGTCTCCCAGGGCCACAGAGGGGCTTTTCAGTCGCTAATTAGCCAACTGAATTTGCATCTGGCATTTCCCACATCTGCACACACACTAACAGGCACGGGAAACACCCGCCTGAATGGGGGCCTCTGCTGAATTGGCATCCCCACCTTCCGCAAGCTTCAGGGGTGCTTGCCGGTACCCCCAGCTTGCTGGAGAGCGGCTTCCGCTCCTGGCTTCCTCCGTGCGGCCCACAAGCCCGATGACCCTCTGTCCTTCTGTCCACAGGCCGATTTTACTACCTGATCCACCCTACCAAGCTGACCTACGACGAAGCCGTGCAGGCTTGTCGCCATGATGGTGCTCAGATCGCCAAAGTGGGCCAGCTCTTCGCTGCCTGGAAGCTGCTGGGGTACGACCGCTGCGACGCGGGCTGGCTGGCCGACGGCAGCGTGCGCTACCCCATCTCCAGGCCCCGACGGCGCTGCAGCCCCACCGAGGCGGCCGTGCGCTTCGTGGGCTTCCCAGACAAAAAGCATAAGCTGTATGGTGTCTACTGCTTCCGATCCTACAACTGAGGGTGCTCCGGTGGCCAGATGGCAGCTGGCAAGTCATCAAGAACATGTGAAAGGTTCTTTTCCATATGAACTCCTGCAAGTTACCAAAACTGTGATAACCCTTTTTTTTTTAACTTACTGTAAAGAGTCATTTCATAAAGACCAATTCATTAATTTGTTTTTGTAAAGCTATCATTCGATATATATTATAAATTAATATAATGTTGAGGGAAGCGCTACACAGAAGGCGGCTTTAGCGCCGAACCGCTGAAGCCGCATGGTCCCTGCAGAGTGCCCGCTCCCAGACGGGCCATGCAACCGCCTGAGAATTGCTGGGGTCAACCCGAGGGAGGTAAAGCTACTCAGAGAGGCAGCTGCCACAAGCACAAACGTTACACATTTCTACCGCTTTGAGACGCACTACAAGACAAATTAGAGCAACAGATTTGAAATGCAGGCTTCTTTCCAGAGCCCGAGACTCCGATCATACAAATCCGTTTTGCAGGGAAACAGTCTAAAAGTTCCAATCGAATGTTTCACTCTTGAAAATCCTGCCTTTTTGACCAAAACAAAGCGAGCATTCACATGGACTCCAATTCTTAGTACCAAGCCCATTGACAGCTAGTAGGAGACTTAAATAAGCAGACAATATTTCATCAATGAGAGATTGGCTTAATCACACACGTCTGGGAAGAACCGTTTCCTTTTTGAGTAGCTTTACTGAGTTCTATTTAAACTCTAAGGACCGTGTGCTAGGCAGCATTTAGCATCTACTCAGGGCAGTTATGTAGAGAAACTGCTGGACAGAAAACTTGTAAAATTTAGCAGCTTGATTTTATGTTAGCTTACGAAATGTCCTATAAAAATAACTTTAAGCTATTTAATATTTCTTATTTACACTACATGGAAAAAAAAAGTCTAAATTACAAAAGGAATGAACGAGTAGCTATATTCTTATCTAACCCACTCACAGACATCCAGGTTTCAAAATTCTTGCTGTTGCTATTTGTATACACTCAGCAAGCCCAGCTGGTGCCTGAACCTGGGAGAAGTCCAACCCTGTAGTTCTAAACCTTCTCCAAAATAGAAAACGGTCGCTTTCTTGCTGGTTGTCGGTAGGAATCAATGAGATGCTGAAGCTGACATCCAAGAGTTTACACTACAACCTTCAGGGCCTTCAATCAAAGGTTCAATCTAGCTTCAGAAAAACAACTTTCCACGTTAGCAGCTCCAATCTGAACCAGGCTCCGTTTTCCTATATTTTTATGACTCTTGAGACCCCCGCAGGGACCAATATTTGTACTCAAATTACATTTCATGATTTCGTACTATTTCACAGTGAGTTCTAATAAATGGAATTTAGTTTAAGAAATCAAGTATGACCAAGCTGGTATGCGTGCCTGAATGTCTTATGTAGATTTTCCTCCCATAACCATGAGTAAATAAATCTGTTTCCTGATTTGATGCTGGTTGCATTAAAATCTGTCATAATGCTAATAAATTTACCCCATAATTGTTGAGTTACGTGCCTGGAAGGCAGAGAACAGCTGAAAGTCCATGAAACCACACACGCATTCATACTCTATCTTGACGAATGATTGTAAATAAAAGTAGATCCTTTCTTTCGTCAAAAGCGTACCCGGGAGCTTCAGATGCTTTCATAGCACAAATGACAGTAAGCATGTACACCCTTAAAGTTAGGTTTGTTATGCAAAACTATAATCCAAAGATATTGTGAGATTTAACTCAAAACATTGCTGGGATAAATACAATTCTCCCTTTTAAAGATACCTGAATGCTGTAGAATAAGATGCATATGTTATTTTTTTAAAAAGTCTATCTCAAAAAAAAATGGCAAGTTTCACCATAAATATTGACATTAGCTCCTTGAATGAGGCCTTATTGGAATAATTGTTACCTATTACAAGAAAAGCACGTGGGAAGACATTTCTCTAGAAGCAAGTATATAATTTCCAGTTACTGTCATGGAGTTCTGTCTTTATATTGCTAAGCATGGTAGCACTTCTTAACTTTTGAATACTTAGTAGTATAGGAATTGGTGCTGATCCAGACCCCTGGGGTGACTGTTAGTTGACTAAAATATTTACCAACTGCATACCAGTTGTTCATTCTGGCAAAAATGACATCTTTACAGAATGACTACTTCTAAGCAAGTTTTAATCTTCTGATTCAAAGAAATCAAAGCCCTCACACCATTTGGACTCCCAGTTAAATAAGGAGTCTTGTTAATAGTCTCATTTTGCTGTTTTCTCATTGAATGTCTACTTTCCTATTCCATCCGTGACTGACACGTCCCAGGAGAGAACCTTTCTAACAGGAAGTTAGTGCAGCACTAGCCAATCGAGAAATCACTCCTTACCATGGTGCCAAGATTATCTGAGGAATGAATCAGGAAGTTGGGTCAGAAATCTTGTTTTCCTCAGAGACATTTCCCCTCCATTGGGAAGCCCCAACAAGGACAAGCTTTTCCTATGCAATGAGTAGAAATGGGAGTTGGTCACATGAACACTGGAGCCATCTTTAATGACTGCTGCCACATTCTATCATGATCATTTTTAGCCCAATACAGTATTTTTCAGTGTAAACTTTCTCTCATAGAAAGGGGGCTGGAACCTGTTGAAGTCTTATTTGATGCAGTCACATCGTTGCTTAGGATTCTGGCAATTAGAAGTAGACACAGAAGAGATTCCAATTTGGTTGCTGGCAGCCATACTGGGACTCTTGACTTCAGTACTCCAAAGAACCCAGCGGTCTCGCGGAGTAACTGACCACTAACTGGGGAGGGAGTGAAAGAAGTGAGTGATCAATTTTGGGTATAATTTGCATCAAGGAGAATCAGGGAACAGCTGGGAGGTTCGCTAAGCACTCCCACATACAGCAGTGGTGCGTAATGAAAAATACCTAAGTTTCTAAGACATTTGATTAAAAGAAAATAAGAAACCTTTATTAAAGGAATTTCATACTATTGGGTAGAAATTTGAAAATAAACCAATCTGTATTACCCCCGATGAAAATGTTCTCATTTTCTGTAACATATAATGAACTGGTAAACATTAAAAGTCAATTTTGTGTTACCGCATTATCTTTTGGTTTTTCTGAGTTGTAGAATCTTAGTGATTTTTCTTTGTGTCAAATCCTAAAGCTGCAGTATTTCAAGGAAAGACATTTTATTCATTTCCATTTTGATACATTTGCATTTTAATTGTAAACACCGAAGCGACTTCATTGCCCAATATCTGACAAAGTGAAAGGAGCAACATGGCTCATGTTATGGCATTGCTCATGGTGCCAGTCATGAATGGAGCCGTCCTAAATCTATGGACGTGTTTTCTGTTCGTCTATTATTCGAAGCATAATTTATTTTGCTCACCTAGCTAATAAACACAGAAATCTGCGGGGCATTCACAAGATTAGCGAGTTCATAATACTTCAATGCTTCCTGTCTGTGTAAGGTTTATAGTGAGAAGGAAGGGCTCCACCCTAACGTGCTACACACCAGGAGCATGGGGAAAATCTCCACTGTTTCATCTCCACTCTGAATTTCCAACGTGATAATTTCTAGATTTTCTTGGTATATGAACATGGGTTGCTAGGTGTAAGGACCCAGTACTTGCTCTACCATTTTAATGAAATTGACCAACATGAGTTTGAGTTGTTAACATTCGAACACAAGTGTGCTTGAAAGACTTTTTCCCATGCTTCCCCAGAATACAGTGAACACCCTTGGGGAGGAAAGCATTCCAGGTGTGACGGGGAGGGTAGTCTTCATGTTAAGGGTTGAAATTCTGCATCAGTTGAAGGACAACTTCATTTTGCCAGCGAATATGCATACGATTACAGCCTGCTCAGATGCTAAACTTCCTTGGGACTAAAATGAAGACCATCCTAACGCTTAAGTAAAGTTAATCTGACCAGGTATGACACTGTGACCAGGTATGACTCCTATCAAGTGACCACAATAAATGCTAATATTTCTGGAGCAGAATGTACTGTGTCCCTAACAGCTAGACAGTTAAGAGGGTTAGAAACGCTAAGGAGGGGTAGCATGGCGGCATCCCCAGCTAATCTGCCTGTGGCACCAGCATCCCACATGGATGTTGGTTCAAGTCCCAGCTGCTCCACTTGTCATCCAGCTCCCTGCATATGACTTGGGAAAGCAGTGGAAGATGGCTCAGGTCCTTGGGCTCCTGCACCCACTTGTGGGACACCCAGAGGAGGCTCCTGACTTTGGATCCACTCAATTCTAGCTGTTGTGGTCATTTGGGGAGTGAACCAGCTAATGGAGAATCTGGGTTTCTCCTTCTCTATAAATCTGCCTTTCAAATAAAGATATCTTTAAAATACACATGAACAATTGTCAGTAAATGCAAAGGATATTGTAGGGAAAAACAGACTAGTAGGAAGAACATTTGCTAGGAGGAGCCCCCCTTGGAGGAGGCCAAGGCTGTGGCATGCGGACCTGCCCACAGCTACAGCTTCGCTCTTGTTCCTCTGACAAGTCAGCGTGTGCCCAGGTGCGGCTGGCTGCCGAGAGCCCAGGCAGGAGCGAAGCAGTCCTTTGTCACTGGCGCAGCTGAACACCCTTCCTCTGCGGAAAATGCCGCCTCCAGAGAGGAGAGCCAAATTTCAAGTGGATGAGAAGCCAGTCCCACTTGATGGGATGTTTTCTAAAAGCCAGTCTTCCCATGTGGTACACGTAAACAGCCAGTTCCGGGAAAGCAATTGTGCCCATCCCCTACCCTCCCCCGGCCCTCCTCTCCCCCTCACAACCAACTCTCATTATTATGGCCAAGGGTGTCATCTGCAAGTCGGAAGTTTTTGATATTTATAACCCACAGCTAAGACGACTGACAAAGCAGCCCAGGCATGGGTCTTCTTGGCATGGCTACATGCAGTTATAAATGTACAGTGTTGTGCACAGCTGAGACACAGCATGTTATGAGATATGAAAAGGGCAAACTAGTTACCACAACAATGTGAATTTATGCTTTATCTCAGTT